TACTGCAGAAGTTTCCATATGAATGAAGAAAACAGACCTGCTCTTGGTAACCCATTCTCAACACTATTCTCCTTTTCTGTGTGTTCTAAAAAAAGTAAGAGCACAAAACTTAAAGGAATCACACCATATGTTTTAGCACAATAACAAGTCAGTGAGAATTGCTTTGATTTACTTCAGTATTACCCTTAAACTTCTCAGTATCTGTATAATTTTCTGACTATGAATAACTCAAAGAAAGTTACCCTGCAAGAGTAAGCACTCGATAAATATTTTTCCATGAACTCATGCATCCCCCTTTCTCTTGTAACCTAAGCATTTATAGGAAAGTGCCATTTTGGGTAGAAATATCCATGAAGCTGGTACATCCCCCAAAGAAAATTATTTTAATAATGCATCTTTGATATTAAAAGATGTCAAGAAACAGAACATGTCAGCTTGGGGTGGTGGAGGTGGGAGGGTCTGCTAGCATGTGGTGTCTGCACATGTTCTGTTTTCTACCCATATGACCCGGATGCAACATTTAGCATCTCTTCAACCTTCCTGACAGAGTCCAACTGATATAAAGTCCACTCAAGTTGTTATAAGAGATAAACAACTGGGAATTACATTATTTATGTCCTTTTTAAAAAAAAATTAAAAGATAAAAGCCTTAAAAATCTTTATCAGACATTGTTTTTCCCAAGGGAGGATTATCATTCTCTCCACCACCACGATAGGACCCCCAGCCTCCTGGCTTTCCTTTTCTGTCGCTACCTGACATCTCACAAATGTCATCCACTCTCTGTGTTTGGAGACCCTCCTCTGCTAAGCTTGTCCTTGGGGTATCAGCCTCTATCTCAAGTATTTTATCAAAACATGTTTCCAAACACAGCACTCTATATAGGAGGAACGCTGGTGTACAACTTTCCCTCCACCTTGTTATGACCTGCATGTTTTGAGCCAAGCTCTGTGTCTCTGCAGATCAGAACCCAGCAGTCCTGACCATGGTTCATCAACAATTGAGCAAGATCTTGCTGCCCTAGATGCTGAAATGACCCAAAAGTTAATAGACTTGAAGGACAAACAACAGCAGCAGCTGCTTAATCTTCGACAAGAACAGTATTACAGTGAGAAATACCAGAAGCGAGAACATATTAAACTGGTAAGCCTGAGAAATATGATTGTACAGCTGGAACCCTCTTTTCTATAGAAAATTCTTGACGCTCTTGGATAACTTTAGAGAGATGGTGGCAGGTCTGACTGACACATTCCTCTTGTTTCCTTAGCTAATAATCTTATCTTGATGCTAGGGTATAGACAGAAGTAAGATGCAGTTCTCAGATCCATATTGTGACATGTGATTTCATGCATGCTTAAAAGCACAATCGAAACTTACTACTTGAGTTTTAAAATGCAACAAAATCATTTCTTAGAACTTGAAATTGCCTAAGGACACCTAGTGTCTACCACACTAATATTTTACAAGTTCCACTATTCTAGCACCTTTACCAAGCTCCTCTCTGTTCCCCAATGAGGCTATGTTTTATTGTTTTTATTTTCACTAGCTTATTTTGGGGTTATAACAGTTTTGGGGGGGAGAGTCTTTGAACTCTCATAAGGGATTAAAAAAAACACATATCTTGTTTCAAGAAAATTAAGAACATGCTGCAAATAAATGTTCACCTTTTTTTTTTTTTTTTTTTTTTTGGTGTCCCTGGGCCTTGCAAGCACTAAAAAAAAAGCCTATAGTCCTCTCTCCTACATTTAAGAGAGTCAGTTTCTACGTGACCAATATGGGATGTTGTCCACCTAATTGCTGAGGCTCCCTGTGAGAGGAATTGCCATAGTCTCTATTAGTGATCAGTTTTGTCCTCCAAAATGTTTTCTCACAGGTTGTGACATTCCCTCCACTGTTGTTGATGCTTTGACACGTAGTATGGTTATGATAAATATTTGGTGACAGATTAAATGAATCAAACAACAAAGTAGCCTTTAACAAAAGCTTATTCCCCAAATAAAACAAATAAGTAAGCTAATAGAAATTAGTGTAGCCAGAGTTTGTATGTGTTGTCTGAGCTGTCTGTTTCTTTGCCGAGAGCCTGTCCATGTAAGAGAATTCTGGGGCTGTTTCTGCTTTGGAGATCAGTGGCTGGTTTAGCCATTAGTGGATGGTTTGGCCATCCCTATGTAATAGGTGATTCAGTGTAATGCTGTTGACCTAGCACTGGTTCCACAATGATAATATGCAAACAAGCAGGTCAGAATCACATTGGAGCTTATCGAACATCAGATTCCACTTGGCCAATTATTCTCAACTTCGGCATGCATCAGAACAACCTGGAAGCCTTAAAACATGGGTTGTTGGTCTTTGCCCCAAATTTCCAATTCATCCAGCCTCCTGTAGGGCTGGTGATGCTGATGCTTCAGGTCCCAGGACCACACTTTGAGGACCCCTGCTTCATTCCTAAATGTGAGGCTTGAGGATTTTAACAAGTTCTACTCGATTTTGGTGGGCCACCTTGTTTGTGAACTACTAAAATAGGATCTAAGCCATGAAAGTATAGTAGGACAGGGATAAGGTTTGGTGTAAGGAAGGGGTTGCCTGTCAGGCCAGAGAAAGTCAAAGTAAATCTTAGTGAGAGATAATGGCTTTGAGACCTCACTATAACCACGCCATCTGATTTTCTCTAGCAGCTTATCCCAGAAAATAATAACAATAATAAAAATTAAAATAGCAACCATGTATTGAGCATTCACCATGGGGGCCATATCCTGTTCTAAGCCATTTGCAGAAATTGTTTGATTTAATCCTTACAACAACAACCACTAGAGTTTGGTACTATTGTCAGCTTATTTTGCAAAAAAAAACAAAAAACAAAAAACAAACAAAAAAAACACAGAGAAATTCAGTGACTTTCCCAAGATTCTACAATTAGAAAGTGGTGAAATCGGGCTCTGAACCTTGGTCCTCTGACTCTAGAGCCCCTGCCTTGTAACTATTGTGCAGATACCTCTGCTAATTCAGATTTTAAGACAAGCTTATCATAATGACCTCAGGTCTCCCAGGCATGCACAGCCAACTCCTTCATTACAGTGACTAGGATGCAGTACGGTCTCTCCCTCTCTTTTCAACAACTTTATTTCATATGCCTTGAAATTCATTTCATTAAAGTGTATACTCCTGGGCGCCTGAGTGGCTCAGTGAGATAAGCATCTGACTCGGTTTCAGCTCAAATCATGATCTCATGGTTTGTGGGTTTGAGCCCTGCCTGAAGCTCTGCACTAGCAGTGTGGAGCCTGCTTGAGATTCTTTCTCTCTCTCCCTCACTCTCTGCCCCTCCCCTGCTTGCTCTCCATCCCTCTGTCTCGCAAAATAAATAAATAAGCATTTATAAGTAAATAAAATAAAAATAAAGTGTATACTCCAATGGTCTTTAATATATTCATAGATATATACAACCGTCAGCACAATTTGAGAACATTTTTATCACCTCACAAAGAAACTCTCATTCATTTATTCATTCATTCAACAAATATTTAGTAGATACCTACTCAGTAAATATTATAAAATAGAAGAGGATAAAAATGACAACAACCCTAGCCTTTATGGAGATTACATTCTAGAAGAGGGATCAAACCATGAACAAAATAAGTTGGTAACAGATATAGTATGTCAGGTGGTGCTAAGTGTTTAGGAGAAAAATCAATGAAAAATGGGGAAACAGGGAATGGAGATGGAGGGAAGGATGAGGAGCATGCCTTGAAATTTTAAATTGAGTAACCAGGGAAGGACTCACTGAGAGGCAGCACCTGAGTTAGGAGTGAAGGACTGACCGCTGTAAACACATGGGACAGGATTTTCCTGGGCAGAAGGATTAGCAAATGCAAGGATTCTGGGTCAGGGATGGGCCTGTCTGCTGGGGGACCAGCAGGGTGGCTCGGTCTGAGGATGACTATAGGGTCTTGGGTCAGAGATGGGACTTTTGGTGTTAGGGACAGATCTTGTAGGGTTGTGGGCCTCTGTATAGCCTCTGCGTTTCACTTAGAGTGTAGTTGACATGACTGGAGGGGTTTGAGTGGAGGAGTGACATGATCTGAAGTAACCTTTACATGGACCACTCTTCTAGTACCTGGTGAAGAGTAGGGACCCAGGAAAGGGCCATCCCAAAGCACAGTTCAGACGAATGGTAGTCCAAGGGGTTAGAAGTCCTGGGGCCCTCTGGCAGATGACTGCAGTTGACAAACAGGGTGAATATAACTCTGAGGACTAGGCAATCCAGCCATAATCATCTGGAGTTTCCCCAGAGTTCCAGCCCCTGTCAAGATTCCATTCCCTAAGGAGAGAGACACGGCAGAGTAAAAGGGAAACCCAATACTCATGGAAGAGTCCCAAAACAAGAATTAAGAGTGTGGATGAAAACAGAAGCCCAGACATACCAGAAAAGCTTTCAGGGAGTAGGTGACTGTACAAATGAGTGCAGAAATCAGAGGGAAGTGCAGCACAAACTCATCACAGGAGAAACACCTGAGCAGGAGGGACCATATCAAATCCCACTAGAGGAGGACACAGAGAGCTAGCTGCTCAAAAGATTTTCTCCCAGATGAGATGGTTGGCTGGGAACCAGGGAAGACCAAGCTGAGCTTATAGGTAGAAAAATCCCACCTGATGAGACACAGAGCAGGAGAGGGAGTGGAAATCCCACTGTGGGTGGCAATCCCACAACATGTGCTTCAACTCCCTTTGCCCTAAGAAGCAATGAGTGTGTCCATAATAAAAATTTTGAAGAGTTTTCAAAAAAATCTACATATGTGTCCAAGCCAGTCTGGCCCTTTCAGGCCAAATATACTAAAAAAACTCACCCCTTCACCTTTGTGACTGTGGGTCTGGGTTTCAGATAAAGTCCTGATGCCTTTGAACAAAACCTGCATCCTTTTGTTAAGAAGGCTAAGGCCCAAACACCTAGGATTTAGAACCACATGAAGTTTACTTTATGGCCATTTGGGGGTATCCACAATTTATACTACATGCCTTGAGCTGGCATGTATCAGCTTCAATTGTTTCTTTCTTTCTTCATTTTCTATCACTCCAATTGTTTCAACCAGAAATTGTTCTGCCAGGAAATCTCTTGACCGAGAAGCACCCAGAAGTGCCAGTTCTATCTTTGGTTGTGGATCGGAGTTATGAACAGGCCTCTCAAGCTAAATTAGACAAACGGAAATGTAATTAAAAAGCAAGTAGGCCCCAGGTAAAAAGGACTATTTGGGTGATGAGGAAAATTAAACAGGATATTTCATCTCCCAAAATTGCTTTGGGAATTAAATACAGATGTGTTTAGGTTAAGGATTATACATTTCAAATGCCAACATCTACAGTTCAAGGATCAAGAAAGAAACCATTACATCAATAAACTCCCTGCCAAATGACCATTAAAAACTTAATATTTGCAAAGCACTCTGATAGACCCTGGAGATGGAGATGAAGAAGATGTGATCATCATACACATTCAGGGAGCAGGTACCACAAACAGTTACAATAGCATATGATAAATGAAATAATAAAGGTATCAGCAAGTTGATACGAAACCCCAGATGTGGGAACAATTCACGTAACTCCATAAATTGATAAATACCAACAATATTTTTGAGGTCATTATTCATAGGAGGTGTAAAATGCACACCAAACTTCATAGACTCAATAGTTTCAAAGAAAATTTTATACCTGTCCAAAGAAGAATCTTTATCCTTAAAACTCTGTATCCAAATAGCTCTGCAGCCTGGTTACCCAAGTGTGGTTCCCAAATCACCTGGGATCTTGCCTGTTAGACAAGCAGCGTCTCCTGCCCCACCCCAGACGTGCTAGATCACAATTTGCATTTTAATAGGTGTCCCAGGTGACTTGTTACACATTCAAATTAAAGAAGCTGGGTTCTAGAGCCGTGGATCCTTATCTTTGCTCAAAATGTATTTTGGAATAAGGCTAAAGTTCCCTTTGGTTGAAATGGGATATACAGCATGTGCTCCATTATTCACGGCTTGATCCTCAAGCTGGATGGAGATACCTATTGGTGCCAAAAGCACAGGGCCTGTGGAAATCACTCATGTGATTTCCTGCCTATATTGGCAACAGAAGAAAACAGTTACTTCCATGTAGAGGTGAGTGAAAATAAAGATATAAATTCCCCAACCCCATTCAAGTTCTTGCACTCCCTGAAATCTCTCCATAGATACTGTGAGGATCTGTGAACCCTAGCTGGGGACCGCTGTTCCAACTATAGGATTGGGGAATCTGCTCTAATTTAATTGTTTTTTCATCAACAGCCATTGGTTGACCCTGAGTTTGGTCATACCATTAGGGTTAGGTTTTCATTTTAAAAGTGACTTTGGTAAGTGATAGAAAGTCTTAGGGAGTCTTTCTGGGGACTCTTGATCACTGTCAGTAATGAGACCTAGCATCACATTCAAGCAGAAAAACTGCCTAGTGAGAGGAGATTACATGGTGATGTTGCCGGGGTCACTTCTCAACTGCAATGGTACCTAGCCTGCCATTTAGTCTTCTCTGTTTTCCTTCTTTCTCATGGCTTCAAGAAAAGATTTCTTCATTTTCTCTCACAGTCACCACACTCTTTATCCTCTGTAGAGGCTTGTTTTGCTTTGCTTTGCTTTGCTTCTCATATTTTAGGTCTCCCAAATGTACCAGTCCCCATTCATTTCTCCCTTCCTTCACATCAACCTTAATGGCTGGTATTCTTCTTTTACATAGTCCCGCTTATCTCACCAGCAATCATTTATAGGACCCAAACCAACATTAGTATCCATCCTCCTGAGTTCCCCAAGTCCCTGCTGATCCCAGAGACTGAAAGATGTGTTTCATGGTAAAAGCTGTGGGTGAATACTGACCAGCTACTAATGGATGGCCCATCAGGATGTGAGTAGTGATGAATGAGGGTCTAGAGTCAAATGTCATTTCTGGCCACTGCTCTTGCACTGAGTAACTGTGTGATGACTCTGAATTTCCATTTTCTCATCTATCAAATGGAAATAAGAATAATCTTCACTTCATAGAACTATAAGGAGGAATAATAAGATAATGTCCACAAATCATGGCTATTAATGAAATAAAATAATACATGAATTGACTAGGAAATCTTGACTTCTATTATAAATGTGTATTGCTATTTTTGACATCTTGCTACAGATTGATAGAGATCATTGTCTTCCTTTTGATGATTTCTATGAGCACCATTTGTTGTTGCAGCCTCTACAGAAGCCAGCCTTGAATTTTCTCCCTTCTATGGCCAGCCAGCTAAAGTATATGGGCCAGGAGTAATTACAGTGTCAGGAAGAAAGTAACTCTACTGAGTCGTGGTAGTGTTATCTGTCTTCCTCCAATATTCTGACTCTAACATGGGATTATTTTTCTTAATAAATAACTTTCCTAAAAACTTTACATTTTCCACCTAATAGAAATTACAAATAAATAAAGACTTTAGTAATGAAATAAAGAATGCAAGAATTGTCAAAATGTGTTATTTGTAAATTTTTTTGATCATCATTGAGTAACCCTAGTAGAGTGAGGTTGTTCTTCTCATATATTTATATGTGTGTGTGTGTGTGTGTGTATATACACACACACACACATGTGTATATATGTACATATATATGTATAAATTATCTTTATGTTAAATTCCATTTCTGTAATTATGTGCATACATGAGTATATTTCCATGTTTGTTTTGGCCATTTGTATTCCTTTTTTTTTTTGACAGGAGTTAGGATTTATTGGTGGGCATGAGCAAGAAGAGGGCAACACCAAGACTCTCAAGAGTGGAGGGTCTACCATTTGTCTAGAGGGCCATGATTAGGGATGTATTTCACCCCACAGCCATCTGGGATGAGCCGCTTTTTAGCCATCATTGGCTCATTCCTCATTTCATTAACTTGTTAAAGTCCCACTTTTTGGAAATGTGACTCTTTGGTTGTCAGGGAACTTGAAGTTGGCCCTGAATAGGGCCTTAATCACATGCTCCTTGTTCTGCAGCTTGGTACAGATGGACATGAAGACTTGGTCAATGTGGACCCTGGTCACTGTGCCTTGAGGCTTTCCAAAGGCACCCTGCAAAACTGTCTGGAGCTTCGACTGGGGATAGCAAATCAGACATGAATGTCCACTGGAAAAGGCTGTCTCCATGGTCCCTTAGGGCAACCAATACAAACAACAAGCTGCACACACTACCACAGAGGCCACTGTTTGCAACTATTGCACACCAGGCCCCCAGGGGGGGATAGAGCGTATTCAGCTTAATTGGCTGCAGATTATAGTCCTTTTTTCTTTTTACAAACTGCCCATTCACATCTATTGCCTACTTTTCTGTTGGATTGTCTCCTTTTGACCTACAGAGTTCATGTGGTATCTTTGCATTTATTATTTTCAGAGGTTGGGCAAGTTAGAGAGTATGAAATACACTTATATAATCATTAATTCATCAATTCATCAAAAGTTATTGAAGGCCTACTGTAGGCCTCATACTGGTGGGAGAATTCCATGTGGACCAAGCCTAACTATAGTCCCTGCCCTTAGGGGCTTATGGTGGTTAAGAGTACAGGTTGTGAAGTCAGACAGATCTACTAATAGAATGCCCATCTTTATCAGGTAGCTTTGCTGCATAACAACCACCTCAAAACTTATTGCCTTAAAATGACAATTTGTTTAGCTCATGATTCTGTGTGTAGCAATTTGAGCTTGACTCAACTGGATGGTTCCTCTAGTGTTGGCTGGGCTCATTCATGTGTCTCTGGTTCAGCTGCCCCTCACCTAGGGGCTCTGCTTCTGAAGGTTGGCGGACTGTCAGCTGGGTCAAGACAGATGACTGATCCACATGTTTCATCACTCATCAGGCTACTCTGGGCTTTTTTATGTGGAATGAAAAGAATTCCACTTGAGAGCAAGAGGAAATGGGCAAGATGTTTTGAGAGGTCTCATAAACTTCTTTCTCCATTTTTGGTCAAAGCAAGTTGTAAGATTTGCCCAGATTTAAGGGTTAGGAAATAGATTCTATCTTTTATTTAGGGGAGGTGCAAGTCAGATGACAAAGAGCGTGAATACAGTAAGTGGTGGAGAAGTAGAACAATAATGTACACACAGCTGTCATAATTTGGATATGAGGTGCAATAAAATAATCCAAAGACACTTAACACAGTGCCTAGAAGATAGTCATCATTCTTTACCAAAGGACTATTTGCACAAGATTTAAAGTGAGAAGACATGACTTCCATTTTTAGTTGCATAATGTTAGCTAAACCATTTCACGTCTTTGAGTGTATCCTCATTTCTAAAACAAAAATTTTGTACAAGAATGCCTGTAAACTCTCCCTTTGACAATAATGCTAGTTTCCTTTAATTATAAAATCAGAGATGATCCAACTCTTGGGACTATAAAAATAATAATGAGGATTTTAATTTGAAGCAATAAATAAACTTTGGTTTTTCTTTTGTGTGTGTACACAATATATCTTAATGTACTTCTATGTGTTAATTGGCAACTCTTTAGGTAACATTAAGAAAAAAAAAGTCTGTAAACAGAACCATCCCCAAAGGCAAAGAAAATAATAGTTTTGACTTATGTCAACTTAAAGAAGCTTAGGGAACAGAAGGGAATCTGCTCAAAGGAAAATTCCAAAACAGAACCCACAAGTCTGATAATTTAGTTTGTGCCCTCTGGAATTATAAGACTCATTGCCTCCCCCCCCCTGACAAGTCAGGATGCTGATATGATATATTTTGCATTAAGAAAAAAAGTAGGTGACATGCTGTGGTATTTATCTTCACAGGCAGCTCTTCTGAGACTATATTCCAAAGGGACTGTTGAAATATTCAACCCATGATTTATTGCCTTATTTTAGTAACACACCACAGGACAAATCACATATCTTTTAATCAGATCTCCTTTGCTAATTATCTGAAAACCGCCAGTCTTGAGCATTTTTGCTACTTACCCACATGTAAGTAGTAACCAATATTTATTTATTTTATTTATTCTACCTTAAATGATTTTGACATCTTTCAAAATTATGAAGCCTTACCCTAGAACTGTGGTGGTTTGGTTGTTTTCTTCATTGATTGAATCAGGTATAATAATCTCAACTAACTTGATGAAATGCAAACTTTACTCACTGGCAACCCCAAGCATCATTAGCATACCTTAAATAGAGCTCCCTTTATCAAAGTTCTTGATATTTTAAAAATGTTGAAAATATTTCCAGTTGATAACCTCATGAAAGAATACCAAAATATCATTCAAGGGAGTATGTTACAATGATCGATTTATATTTTCAGAAAGCTGCAAAGCTGATATTTACCTCAGCATAGTTTAAAAATGAAAAATAATTTTAAATGTTATGAATTCATTGGGCCAACTTATTGACATTGAACTAGGAATCTTGGTCAGGTTTTCCTATTTATTTATTTATTTAGCCCAACAAGGAAAATTTTCCAAAGATCCTTTAGACGTTTAGACCCAAATAAGCTACTGTAAATTCTATGTGGCTATGCAAATTTAAAAAAGAATAATTTCATAGGTATGAAAGAATATCTCAGAGAACGATTGTTGCCCTTTTAGTCCAAGATTTTGCACTCATTCTGAAAAGAAATGAGAGCTAGTGGAGAATATCAGTTCCACATGGGTCAGACCTATCTGTTAGCTCACAATTAGACCCTCAATACTGGTACAGTGTCCAGTACACCGTAGGGGCTAAGTAAATATTGGTTGAATGAATGAATGAATATTTCTCAATTCGAATGGCTAGGATACATACCAGTGTGAACAGTCACCTTGCATTTAAATTGTCAGTAACGGGGGTGCCTGGGTGGCTCAGTTGGTTAAGCATCCAACTTCAGGTCAGGTGATGATCTCCCAGTTTGCAGGTTTGGGCCCCATGTCAGGCTCTATGCTGACAGCTCAGAGCCTGGAGCCTGCTTTAGGTTCTGTGTCTCCCTCTCTCTCTGCCCCTCTCCACACTCATGCTCTGTCTCTCTCTGTGACTCTCTCTCTCAAAAATAAATAAACATTAAAAAAAATTAAAGTGTCAATAATGCATTTAGTACATAGATCATTACTTAGTGAATAAATTCTTTGTAGAAGTAAAAACAAAAACAAAAAACAAAAAAAACAAATTATAGTGAAAATTCAGAGTGGATGCTTTGAGAGTGGAAAAGAGGGTGGTACCTTCTGTGGATATTCTTGGAAGGGGAAGGAGGATGGGTTGTGCCTGAAATGTGAACATTCTATACTTGACTTTTTGTTCATTTTCCAAATTGTCCTTCTTGAGAAGAGACTCCAAACATGACAATTTTTGTCCACATTTGTTTTTTTATCCCTTTTGAGTTAAAGTCAAGGAACTATTCTGTTCCATGGAAACCATTCTCTCACCCTCAAATGGCTAACCCTAGTGAATTTCAGCACGGAGCTGAAAACAAGCATGAAATTATATTCCCCCAGGGCTTTCCTTTTTCGCTCCTTAAAAGGTTTGGAACATTTAACTAGAAGAGTTGTCATGAGTGGTAAACAAATAAGCCCAATGACTGAAACGTGTCTATTCCTTTGGGCCAGGAAAAAGAATCATATAAAAAGTTAAAATTAAATGTTGTTTACTGCATTTCAGTTTAACCATGTACTCTCTAGGTTCTTTTCCCTAAGAATTCTAAACTAATCTTTTCTTCTTTCCTATCTTCAGTGAGTTTTGTGATTAATACATGATTGAACAGTTCTGTGAGTAGAGTCTATCTGTTAATAAATACACCAAAAATGAGCGTACCTTAGGTTAGTTAAAAAAAACACTTCAATTATTATGTGAAAAATCCCTCTTCTGGGTCCTATTTTCACATCTTATGCAATAGAAATCCTGGACCCAATACTCAGAGAGGTTCCTTTATCTTATTTGGAGGTTCCTATTTCTATTTTTTTTTGTCAGGATTCTTTGGTTGCAAGTAACAGAAATCAATATTGAACTAACTTATATACAAGAAAGATACAAAGTAGATCACATGAGAAAAGTTTGTCCATCCACACCGGGAAAGGGAAGGCATGGAGAACTAGATGCCAGAAACGACTGGCAAAACTTTCTATTTCTGTCTGCCTGTCTGTCTACCTGTATTTCTCTCCTTTTCTCTCAGTTCTTCTGTGTGTCCTTCTCCCTCCCTCCTTTTCTCTCGCTCTCTTTCTCTCTCTCTCCTGCTTTTCAATGTGTATTAGCACTATTCTTTTCCATCAGCACATAGGCTTCCCCTTCTTAGAAAATATAGGCACCAACCCTTCTAAGTTATTCTTTCTCCAATAGCAGGTTGGAAAAATCTGGAGGAAAAGCTTTGTTAGGGTCATGTGGTCAACCAAACTTGCAACCTTAGACCAATCATCTGTGGCTAAAGTCAGGGTATGACTGGTCCAGCTTGGATCAATGCCTCCCCTAGACCAGTTACTTTGGCCAAGGGATGGGGGTAAAAAAAAAAAAAAATACAGTAGCTCCCATGGGAACCTGATCTGGCATAGAACCAGTTCTCAGAAAACAGAAGTTCTTCCTGGAGAAGTAGTGTTGGGTAGATAAAACCATAGGTAAATCCCAACTCTCTTTTTAGTGTAAGAAAGAGATAAATTATTGATATATATATATATATAATATGTATATATTATATATATATATATAATCCCATTGCCAGTTTTGTGGGAGTCTGACAATAGTGGCATATTATTAACAAAGACATAATATTAATCATTCTGCCTCCTGGACCTTAAGTAGAGGAAGATTAAATGAAAACAGTAAATGCCAAAAAGGCAGAATTACAGTGAGAGTGATGGTTTTTTGAAAATAGCTGGAAAGGGCAGAATGCTACAGGGAGGGGTCTGTAGTATGGAAGAGTGGGAAAGACCAAGGGGAACTGAGCAGGATGGAAAGACATTTACATATTTGCCATATTAAACACAGAGATGTTGTCGTTTTATAACTACATACTCTTTTTGATTCTATGGAAACATTGTTTTCATTAGTTGCATGCAAAAGCCATGTTTTAAAAAACATTTCACTATAAGGCGTTTGTTCCCAAAGAAAACCTAGCTTGTTAAATATATATATATATATTTTTTTGATAGTATTTCTAATAAGACAGTCCATGGCGTTAGACATGATGCTTCATTGTTATCATCAATGTCAGTGTCAGTGTGGTTTTAAAACTTAAAAGAATTCATTCTTGGGGTGCCTATGTGGCTCAGTCAATTGTGCACCTGACTCCACTGACAGCACAGAGCCTGCTTGGGATTCTTGC